ATACGGGTGGTCGCGCGTCCCCAACGGCGATGGCCCAGTTCCAAAGTTATGCAAAGGACGCATTCATCCGCTCAATAAGGTAATCAGGAACATATTTTGAGGAATTTGGTAGTCAAACGACCGGTGGACCGGCACGGTTGAAGAAAGACAGGGGGCCCAGGCTAAAACTACGGTTTTCGTGGACGCCTATTCAGCCGGCAGGCTCCACGTGGGTCACGAGACTTGGAAATGAGACTCGTATTTTTCCTCATATGTTAAACCACCACAAAACGCGCATAATTAAAACATTTCTTTCTTCGAGCCATAGTGTCCGAGAACGACGGTAAATCATCGAGACCGTGTCCCACCTCGTGTCCTATACTCGCGACTTTCTTTCTTGCTTCTCTCCGTGACTCTTGCCAAAATGTTTGCCCCCACGCGGATTCCTCGATCAAATAAAATGACCGTATCACTTCGGCTAATATAAAAACGCTCGTCACTCGCCGACATCGTCTCTCGCCGCAGTGCCCGTATGAAAATTTCCTAAACATTCCCAAATATAGCATAAATCAGATTATCTAAATTTATCCCAAATAAATGTAACATATTGTGACACCAAGTAAGAATCCCATTCTTATTCCAATCATAAGAAAACCTGAGGAAAATGTTGGAGCAAAGCAAATGGGATTCGTCTGGGTTTCCAATCGCAACTTTCTTTTATTTAGTTCGCTAATCAAAATAGATTAGATTCCATACAATTTTCTCGTATAGAAAACCAGAGAGATCCTATTTTCCCCGCCCAAAGCTTTTCAGACACTTTGTTCAGCATAAATATAAAAGGAAAATCTAAAAAGAAGAAGAAAACTTTGAGAAAGAAAACTTTGTGCAAACGTTGGACGGAGAAAATGGAATCTGTCCGGGTCTCCCACTTAGAGTTGCACTTTGGAAACGTCACACCTCTAATTCGAGTCTTCACGGATTCGATCAGAACCCATCATTTTTTGAAAAATCGGAGTGGATTCCAATCAGACATCGGAAAATTTTCTGTACGGGCGTTATAGACACCTAATAAGATCCCGATTCAATTATCGGAAAGAAATGACTCGAGGTCGCCGATCGCCGGCCTTCCCGTTCACCCACGAATTCGAGCGTAGAATGCAAAACAATTTCGGTGCTCCCTTTGATGGTGACCGGGGGTCCTTTTCTCCGGCGCGCCGGACGCGCTCGACGCGTCCCGTCGATCCCGGCGCGCACGAATTTCTATTAAAAGCGGCAATTAGTCTAAGTCCCGATAAATCTTGATGAGTGATACACCGACATCAGTCTCGTTGTCAAAGACGCCCGCGGCGCGGCCCGCACCGATTACCACCACACAGCCGCGCGCGCGCGCGCGCGACCAAGCAACACGCACCACGCGCGCACACACACACGCGCGGACGACGGAACGGAGACGGTGGACGAATTTCTTCGGACTTTTCTACGCCAGACCGCGGTCGTTGTTATGTTAAACTAGGTGAGAAAGCCGCTACGCACGCGGTGGCCCATTAGAATTTTTAATGCGACCGTTTGGTGGGCGCTGCGCCCTCGGAAATCGAGAACTGCAGCGGGGAATGCCGCGAGGAACTTCTTCAAAATGCTCCGGCCACTTTCCTCTCCCGCTGGCCGCTTCCTCTTCATCTTTCTGTCTTCTCTTCCCGCCCTCTTCTCTTTTTTCCCCCTTTCTTTTCTCTCTCTCTCTCTCTCTCCGTTCGAGAGACCTTAAACGCGCCTAAACAGCCCTTTCCCCGATTGCCTCCTCTACGCGCGCGCGGATACTGCACGACCAAGTGGTATCGAAGGCTGCATAGCTGCGGTTCGCGATTACGCGAAGCGTAACGTCTCCCCCGCGAGCGAGTCTCTCACCCAAGTCGGAAGCGGCGGGATCTTCACATTTGCACGGTGTAACCGCGAAGCGGTCCCGAACGGGATTTCAGCGGCCGCCGCGAGCTAACCGATGCTTTCACTTCCTAATTAGCCGCGTGGATTTGCATGAAAATCCCGCCACCGGCGATTTTAAACGGCCGAGAATCCTCTTAGGAGAATTTCGCCGAGTCCCGCCGTAAAACCGCCGGAACACATCGCATGGGGGTCATCACACTGCGGCCCGTCCGATTCCTCCGACCGGAAAGATCGAAAGAAGGAGGAAGAACGAGTGTCCCGGCCACGGCGGCGAATTCGGCGATTTCAGGCTGGAAACGCCGTCGGCCGAAGGAAGCCGCGTCGTCGCAAAACCGTCCGGTGAAGCCGGACGGAGGGCCCGAAACGGCCGAGCCTAAGATCCTCATGAGACGTCAAAATCGGCTAATCAATTTCTTACGCGTTACGGCTACGTGCTACCTGACGCCCGGTTTCACCCGCCACGATCCCTTCTCGGCGAGCGAGCGTGTCGCGCGAACCGAAACCGACGTCCAGGACCGATGGTGACATCGACAAATTCGCCGGGCCTCGGACCACATTTCACGGTCGACGGTGGATTCGCCGATTTTTAGACAATGCGTGAAAAATATCCGGCCACGGAAATATTGGGACCGGCATTGTCTACGCCGCTAGGACGCGGAAAGTGCACGGAACGAACGCGACTTCGCAACACCTCTTTCTACGCGATGACACGCTCCGTTCCGTCGGCTAATTGCCGAATAGGCGGCATTTTCCCGGACTATCGGCTGTGCTCGTCCGACCCGAGTGCTCAACTTTTCGTCGGTGCTCGCAGCCCGGCGGAAGAAGACGCTAAACTGCAGGGCGAAACGGGCGATTGACTCTCTAGCAGGAAACTGCGGTATCCTGTAATATCTAGTTAACGCGTTGAGTCCGCCTAGGGGGTCGGTAGTGACCGGCGCTATGATACCGCCGCCGTCTCATTAATCCACGCAGGCACGGCAGCGATTTAATTTGCGAAAATAGCGTGGAAAGTGCGTCTCATTTTCTTGAAAAAGAAAACGGTGAGTCGGCTTTAAAAGAAGCGAGAGAAAAATGATCTCGTAACGAAGATCGAGGAAGAGGAAAACTTGAATTTCAGGGAATAAAAATCACATGATACATAGAACCTAAAATCTATTTCAAACTTGGTCCTATTCGTATGTTCACATAATAAACACTAAAACTCTTCATAAACAATTAAATTCTTTTTTAACACATTTAATGAAATAAAATAAAAACGGTACTTGAATCGAGTTAAACTGCATTGCAATGTATTTTCGAAATGTCGGGATATCTCAGAAATTTTCATCAAACTAAAACAAATCTGAAAAATAAAGAAAATAATTGAATTGCGGGATTTTCCGTTTTCAAAAGCAGACTAGTTAGTCCACTTCTTAGGAATAATAATATTGAAAAAGTAATGTTTAATAATATTCGAGTTAATGAAAATACAGCCAGGTGTACTCCTGACGGTCATCATCAGTTCTCTTAAACTCGTTCGTTTTAGCTACCAGTAATGATATCTCAGTGTTTCATCGAACGACCGTAAACTAGCGATTGGCTCATCGGAAGCGACGAAACGTGGCGACACAATACTCAAAGCCACCTACAGAGCGTAGCGAGTTACCCGTGACTGTCCTCCGGCACGTCTTCGCGACGAATTCGTCGAGAGTTCCCCCGAAGGGGGCTCGCACACATTTCGGGTCTACGACTTCCGCAGGACCCCCCGCCGGCGCTCTCACGAAGGACTCGCCGCTTAGCCCCGGGTTCCGCTACCGTACGGAAAGATTTACAAGCGGGCACGACGGCCGCGGGTTTATGGATCGGGCCCTTCGTAAAAATTTATACCGACTCCATCATGCGCTCCTTATGATCCTTATTCGTGGACAGTGGCGGCCATAAATATCCCTTCGTTTCTCGAGACAGAACAACGTCCTAACGACGGCCACGAATCGACGATAATTCGGGGGACGATGCGGACCCACCGGGAATAACGCGAATCCGTGAACGAGCAACGGATCTCGCACGATCGAGGAACAATTGTCTCGGTCGATTGTGTCAATTCTCGAGCGTTGATCGTGCCACGATGCGTTCGCCCCCCCCCCCCCTGATCCGCGCGAATCATCCCCTCGGGAAGAGCGCGAGCGAGGATCATCACGAGAAACGACGAGGACCGAGCCGGCACGTCCCAGGCAAAATTGACGCAGCGATCGCCTCTCTTTCGCCGCACTATCGTCGTCCTGGTGGCGTACACGTGTCGGTAGCGGTAATACGTGATCCTCTCGCCGGCGATATACGAGGAGGACACGTACCGTGGGCGGCCCTGTGGCCAGAGCCGCCCATTGTACGGTATTCCTTTGCCAACCACGTGGCAGGGCGTAGCCAACGGTGGGCCCCCGTTAATACCATGAGTCCCAGAAAGCCCCAGCGAAACCCTCTCTCTCTCTCTCTCTTTCTCTCTCCACCCTTCGTCCCGCTAGCCCGGAGCCCCCCTCGATGTTCTCTCGAGGGAGAGACACGAGATAGCCGGTACCCCAGCTGACACGTTATTGCCGCAGTACCCCTCGCAACGAAAGCAACGCGTGCTCACCGATTCGTTTTCTTGTTTCCCGGTCAGGAACGTGTCCGAGAACGACGTCGCCCCCGTCTTCCGGGCACCGTCGTGAAGAATCCCGCGCGCCGACGCGCGCTCACACGGAGGACTTGATTAGCCCCCCCCCCTTCCCCCCGCGCGCGCGCGCGCGCGGATTCAAGGGCCTTCGGAACCTTTTTATACTTTGTCTCGTGCCGTTCTTTCTTTTTTTTTCCCTCCGCCGCCTGTCTCTTTTTTCTCGCCTTTTCCCGTCTTTTCTTCTTCCCTCCCGCGCGGACCTCGCTCGCTCTCGTACGCACGACTTACGTGGCACCCAAGTGCGCGGTCACTCCATCCCTTTCGGGCCGGATGCTAAACGAGGGTTCTCTTCTATTCGGAGATAAGTGACCGTGAAGCACGAGTGGCAGTTACCGATCAGTGTGTGTCAAACTAGCCGGCCGGTGTCAATCGGATAACGCAGTGAGGACTCAGGATGGATGTCAGCGGAATCAGGCCCATCTTCACTGGATATCCGTTCCAAGGTTAGTTCGATCGCGGCAGCGACCGGTCGAATCGAGCACGGTGATCGTACGGTGATCGTAGGGCGAGAGGCCCGTCGCGATCACGTAACACCGTCTAATGCTCGCTCTCTCCCTCACGATCATCCGTATGAAACGATTACGTCACTCCAATTACATTACATTCGAAGGGATTGTCTCTCTACGAGTGAGAGTGAGAGAGAGAGGGGGGAAGAGGAAAGGCAGAGGTTTCAAGGAGGTAAAAGTTGAAATATCGCCGTCTAGATATTATCGGATCTTTTAAATCAATGAATTAATCGACATTGCGACAAACGGCGAAATTATAATCGAATTGTCCAAGTTCGCCGGCGATGATTATACCGTACGGAGGATAGTTAAGCGATTTGCATTTCTTAATTACGATTCTCTCGGACGACGACGACGATGGCGCCCGTGCGCCGATAATAATAACAGCGCGTGCGAAAGGGTGGCATTTGTGTCGAATTACGCCGACAATATTAGCGTATGAAAGTGCCATTACCGCGATTAAATAATTTTGCGCAACGCCGGCTCGGTAACAATGCGGCCGCTTGATCGTCACGTTCGCGCTCCGTTATTAAGACGATAATTAAATTCAATCACGATCGTCATTAACACACATTCGATCGGTTACACCGCGCGGCGATTTTGATAAATCAATCCTGCCCGAAGAGCGCGCGCGCGCGCGCGCGCGACTCCGTCGTAAATTACATGGTAACGCGCGTACGTTCGCCGGTTCGCCGCGCATATTAAACATTCCCCTTCGCCGCGTTTTAATTGATATCCATCTTTAATGCGAAGCAACGCTTCGAAACTGAGCAAGACAAATCTACATTCGATGTTATCGCGCACCGCATTGGACACGGATATTTATTAGCAGGCGTGGCGTTATTTTTGCTCAGCTCCGTCCTCGGGAATATTGCGGTAACGCGGCGCTCGTATCGTTTCGAACGATACATATATATATATATATATATTCTATCGATACGATACATATATATATATATATA